CCGGTCCTCATCACCGCCTCACCTCATTTTCCTCCTCGCCGCGAACCATGTATTCATCCCTTTATTCATTGTTTATGAGTCCAACGGGCTTTTATCTTTACCAGCACGCGCCGAAACTTGCCGAAGAGCCCTTTCCACCCTTGGATTTCACGTTGAAAGTGCATCGTAAAGGACGAATACTCCGTGGGGGTGAGAATGTCAGAGGCAAGTGGGTAAAAAGTGAACGGTAGATGGTGGCAGACGGGGAAGAGTAGAGGTATCAGGAGAGCGATGTGTGTAGTACTATGGACTTATCGGTGTATAAAAAAAAAATACGATAAAACTTTACGCTCGAACTAAGTTTCAAACGCATGCCTTTGGCGTACTTTTTTATTTTCTTGGGTTTTTTTTTTGTTCCGGTGGGTTTTAAACAGCGGAGAGCTCCTCCCAGCGGATTTCGCCTCGAGGTTACTTTTAAATTCGCGAATTTTCGTGTGTCGGATTTTTTAAGGGATTCTTATCTGGATAATGTCGGCAAATGGACGAAGTTTGATTGCGTGGGGAACAAAAAATTGAAGTCGTATTTTTTTATTTTTTATTTATTTTGTCTTGGCTGAAATTTTACAAATTATATTAGGTTTCCAGTGAAAATGAATATTGGTTCTTGAATTCCCTTGAAAATTTAGAGGAATCCGGAATTCAAGGAGAGATTTCTCTGATTTTTTCACATTTTTCATCAATTTTTCTGGAATAATTGAACTGATATTTACAGTTACCACTGATTTTTCCATGAAATTATCAATTTTCACTGACAAAATTCCTTAAAATTTCAGTGGAAATGTTACTTGAAAATTGTTAGCAGTGCACATCTGAATTTTTAATGTTGTGAATTAAACATTTTCAAAATAATCTTCATTCTCATATGCATCTGAAAATATAAATTCCACTAATTATTCCAGAAATTGATTGATCTTTCAGTAACAAAATATACGACAATTTCATCTGAAAAAGTCCTTTCAGAATTTCCGATTTTTTTTTAAATTGCAGGATTAATTCTCTAACAAAAGGAAAATACCGAAGTCAATTTAGTGAAAAATATCGAGTATTCAGCCGGCGTACAGTCTCATTGCTTTCGTCTCCGCTATCTATTTTACAATCTCAATAAAACGTGATCCACAACCAGTGCCGGGTTGCACCCAAGGCTGTGAGAAGACGAAAATTAAATTCTAAAATTATCAAATTGCGAATGCAAAAGACGCCAATTATTTTTTCTCTGATCACCCCCATCTAGCATTGAATTTAGAATGAGTTCTGATGAATATTTATGCTCACATGGGTCTGGATACTGCAGTGAGAAATTCCAATTCGCTGAGAAAAATTGTCCTTCAGTCCTAATGCGACGTAAAGTGACTCAAGTGAAGGAGAGCGATGAGAGTAGAAAACGGGTGAAATAAATTGTCTCGGGCCAGTCTCTCGTTCTCTCCCGAGAATGGGCCATTGATAGAACCCGTATAGAGAAGCAAAAGAGGGAAAAAATAATAAAAGACGCGTCTGAGGATATGGAGTAGGACGTTCCTCCAGAAAACTCATTTTACTTTTTTTTTTTCCATTTCGTTTCACACAACCTCGAATCAATTTCAAAACCGTCCTCTCGACGCACCCCGAGGTAATGTCCCAGAGGATCTACACACACGTTCTGAATTTTATTATACCAGACATGAGGAGAAATGATATACGAGTTGTTTTATCCTTATTTAAATTTCATATTTCTACGCATTTCATTCTTCAACAACATTTCCATCAATTTTTTATTTTGACATTTTTTTGTTATGGAGATTCGTTTAAATATTTGCCTTCAAGCACCAGGAGATAGGATATTTTGAAGGCGTTTCATTCGTTAAATTTCATGAGGTTTGAATTCACTTGATTTTGCACTTCGAAGTGCTCGAACAGATTTTAGAAATCAGGAAAAAATTCAAAAACACATTTGTTCCCGGAAAATTCAGACTTTTTTTTAATAAACAAATCTACTTTTCCGATTTTTCGTAGAATAATTAGCAGAAGTAAATGAATTAATTAATTTATCACGCGTGAATTAATGATAATATTTAATAATTTATGCATTGATTTGTGTTTATAAAATGTTTTCTGAAAATTTAATTTTTCAATATTTTCATTCATTTTTTACTTCGAAATTTTTTTTTCTCCAAAAATTTTTTAACCATTTTAGACGCCAGGAAAAAATTCAGGAAATCGTTTTTTTTTTCGAAAAATTAAAACTTCTTGTTTTCATAAAAAAATAATTTTTTTAATTGGTCATAAAAGATTTTCACAAGTAAATCAATAAATTAATTCATTAAATATAAATTAGCGATAATAATTTAAGTCCATACATAAATTCATCTGTTTACATTCGAAATGCGGTCAGACGTGAATTTCATGATTAGAATATCAGATTCCTCTTGGTTTAAACAATTCCCATAAATAATTCGTTTCAGTGTATTTCCTTTATCGAAAATTTAAACCGGAAATTTATCACTGTATTGCACAACTATTTGGGCTCGCATCGTATGCAAATAGATTTTCACACTGAAGAGTTAGATCTGATTAGGAAAATTCTCTATGCAAATTCGACATTCCCGCAGATATTCAGTCAAACTTTCCAAGTTCCACGAGGTTTTACCAAGTTACCACAGGAGAAGTCCTATTTCCTCATCTCCCTGCCCATAAATTCTGACTTTCAGATAAAAACTCGGAGATTCGAGGGATTTTTTCCCCCCTCCCACGAAACAATAGAGGATTTGCGATGATGGAACGGAATATTTTTCAGGCTTCCTCCGTTGTTCTAGCCATTTTTTATAACATAAACGGTTTACATTTTTGCATAAGTGCCTCTAGAGGCGACAATGAAAAAATCTAACAGCCAAATTGTGAATGATTGTGAGTCATCAAGTGATTGCAAATTACTTTTTTTCAATTATGACAGTTCCACCGAAATTTAAAGTAATTTTGTCATTAAAAATTTACAATTCAATGAAAAACAATGGAAATTGTAAATGATTCCATGAAAATTAATAGCAATTAGGAAAATTCAGATGAATATATTCTTGAATCAGGTGAATTATCCTAAATAAATTAAATTAAATTAAATTAGTAAATTAGGAAAATTCAGGTGAATATATCCTTGAATTAGGTGAATTACCCTAATTCAATCAATTCAATCAATTTGGACTATCAAACTAGATGGAGAGGGCATGCATACATTTAGAAACAATCCCGCAATCATTCGTATCTTGATAATCGATTAATGTCTCGTCTACAAGATATCACAATAATCTACAATCTCTTGTTAAATTTGATCCATCAAAAAAATTGACGAACGTTCATCAAAAATTTACCAAAGGTTGTCGAATGAAATTGATAAATCTTTTCTTAATTTTAATTAGTTAGTTGCTGAAATTCCCCAAATAATTTTCTCCGTGTACCCAAAAGCCACATAAATGTCTCACGAGACCAACTACTCCTCCAAAAATTATCATGTTTTGGTGGAAACTTCCAGTTTAGACCCCAACTAAATCCATTCAACGCGACAAAACACCTCCTCAGGAAAACCTACAATTTTTCGGCAGAACTAATTCTCAAATTTCAAATTTTCCTGCAGCAGCGACAAAAAAATCCCCCACCCCCGAGCCTCCCCTGAAAACCAGCCGATTCTGCACCAAATGCCACTCAAAAATCTCCAAGGACTGTCCCAGAAATTCCCCTAAAAAATTTGTTCCCCCAACTCGCCTCCAAAAACCCCCTTTTTCCCGTACAAATCCCACCCCCATAAATTCCTCACATTTCCACGTGCCGAAACCGCCGCGGCGATAAAGGAATTTCGTTATGCCTCGGGAGAAACTGTCACTCCAAAACCTGAAATTACCTCTCAACCATCCAAAGAATCCCTCCCCCCCCCCCCCCCCCCCCCCCCCCCCCCCCCCCCCCCCCCCCCCCCCCCCCCCCCCCCCCCCCCCCCCCCCCCCCCCCCCCCCCCCCCCCCCCCCCCCCCCCCCCCCCCCCCCCCCCCCCCCCCCCCCCCCCCCCCCCCCCCCCCCCCCCCCCCCCCCCCCCCCCCCCCCCCCCCCCCCCCCCCCCCCCCCCCCCCCCCCCCCCCCCCCCCCCCCCCCCCCCCCCCCCCCCCCCCCCCCCCCCCCCCCCCCCCCCCCCCCCCCCCCCCCCCCCCCCCCCCCCCCCCCCCCCCCCCCCCCCCCCCCCCCCCCCCCCCCCCCCCCCCCCCCCCCCCCCCCCCCCCCCCCCCCCCCCCCCCCCCCCCCCCCCCCCCCCCCCCCCCCCCCCCCCCCCCCCCCCCCCCCCCCCCCCCCCCCCCCCCCCCCCCCCCCCCCCCCCCCCCCCCCCCCCCCCCCCCCCCCCCCCCCCCCCCCCCCCCCCCCCCCCCCCCCCCCCCCCCCCCCCCCCCCCCCCCCCCCCCCCCCCCCCCCCCCCCCCCCCCCCCCCCCCCCCCCCCCCCCCCCCCCCCCCCCCCCCCCCCCCCCCCCCCCCCCCCCCCCCCCCCCCCCCCCCCCCCCCCCCCCCCCCCCCCCCCCCCCCCCCCCCCCCCCCCCCCCCCCCCCCCCCCCCCCCCCCCCCCCCNTAAACCCCTGAATGAAATAAATTCCCTCAATTTCCCTCATTTTTTTCAGTTGCAGTGCGAAGTCAAGTGTTCGGTGGTGAGCATTAAAAGGACGTAAGCAGGAGTCGCGGAAACTGGAGAAAGTGGGAGTGAGAGGCGACTGCGCGGGGTGAAGCCGCATCGCACGCATCCCGTGTTATATACCTCCTGCAGCATCCGACTTCGATGCGCAACTACACACTGTGTGTGTGTGTGTGTGTGTGTGACGCCGATGTATAAGCATCAAGGAGGCACTGTGCGCCGAGCCAAAACTCTTAGTCTGCCGCGGCACTTCGTGGCGAGTGGTTATCAACCTGTGCTCTATTATTGTTTCACTCAATCGCCGGGCGTGCACGTTGTTTCGGTCAGCTGTCAAAGAGTATTTCGTCGGCACGTGGATTGAGTAAACAAATGGTATAAACTGGATACAAAAAGGCATATAAAGTGAGTTGTTTGTTGTGAAAAAGTGAACTGACGTCGCACGTTTTGGAGCAACTGTCGCGATTTTTGGTGAGTGATGACAATTATGGTCGATTTTTTATTAGCCGTTACGTTTTGCTGCTGTTGGGGGGTCTGGCCGCGGGGAGGGTCTGGCGATGGGACGGTGTTGGGAATGTTTTTCTTGTGGGCGATGGAAAATACGAGGGGGCCTCTACGCCGGCATCCGCCGCGCGTCCAGCGGGTGCGTTGCGGCCAGAGGGGTTACGTCATCACGAAGAAACGTGGCCGGCACTTGGCGAAGTGCTGTTTAGGTGGGACTTGTCAATAAGCTAGATTATGAGGCTGTTTTTTTAGATTGGGGACTGGGAAATTTTGAATTTTGATATTTTTTATTTTAGTGGGGAGGAAGTCATCGGAAAAATCACTATTCTTCTGATTAAGTGAACTTTTAGCCAATTAACCGAATTATTTTAGTCAGTTAACTGAACTTAGTCAATCGATTCTATGAGTTTATTTGGAATTTCTCAGGGAGTTGCTTTTTGATGTTGGATTCTATTGAGATTCAAGACTTGGGAATTTTCAATTTGATCTTTTTTATCAATTTTGAGTGCGATGAAATCATAATAAAAATTATGATTCATTAAAAAAAATTTTTTTTTAGGTTTTTTGCTTGAATTCTTAATTTTAACAGTGATTTTCTGACATTGAAAATGCACAAGGATTAATTCAACTTATACTCAATAAATTCTACGAGTTTACTTGGGATTTTGCAACGAGTCATGTTCTGAAGTTGGAATTTTTTGACATTCAGAACTTGAAAATTGTCAATTTTGCTATTTTTAATTTTATTTGAGGAAAAATCGTAGTAGAAATTATGATTCATCTGAGAAGAAAATTTCGCTTGGAGGTTGTTTGGCCGAATTCTCAATTTTAACAGTGATTTTCTGATATTCAAGATGTACGACGTTCAATTTAAGCTATCCTCAATCAATTGTATGAGTTACATTCTGAAGCTGATATTCTTTGCAATTCAAGAATTGGAAATTTTCAATTCTGCGATTGTCTATTAAATTTAAGATCCAATTGGCATTAATTTTATCATTCATCTCGACAATTCAAAGAAATTCAACACGAGATGAAGACATGACATTAAATTTTCGTTTGAAGTTTTATCATTTTCACATTAAAATTCAACAATTCAGGAAATATCAATGGAAACTCACAGATATTCAACGAAATTGCAAAAAATCCTGTTTCGATTAAAAGTTCAAGTAATTTTGAAAATTCTCGTCTTCCTGCTGCTCAGAAATTTGTAACTCCATCGAATTTTCAATCAAATTTGAAATTCCATAATTTTTCTCATAAACAGAATTCTACATCACACCCAGAAAAATGGTCTCTTCGAATCAAGTAAACTTTATTATCACATAAACGATTCAAATTAACGATTCAACAATCCATTGAATCCAATCCATTGAATTTCCATTTCCATTTTTTTCTCTTGCAATTTCAACATCAACTTTCCAACATTAAACGTACACAAGGATTAATTGAATCGATGCTAAATCAATTCAAAGATTCTATGGATTCATTATTTAAACTTCGTGGAACATGTTGATACGATCTGAGCCTAGAACTGCTTGAGTTCTATTTATCGAGTAGAGATGACACGATGAGTGTTGGTTTATGGTGGCGCAGCCCACGTGACATCGAGGTTTACAGGACGTTGAACTGTCAGTTTATCGGGCATCGGACTTGCTCGGTCTAATTCACAAAATTGATTCTTCCCCTTTATTCAATTTTGTGGGTATTTGTGAGTGGGTGGAAGGGGGAGGGAGGGG